AAAAAACAACAACTAAGCCTCGCCTCGCTGGTGTGCTCAGTTGGTTGGCTGTCGTCCCATAGACCTAAAAGCTGTGGCTTTGATTCCTGGTCAGGGCACATGCCTAGATTGTGTGTTTGATTCCCAGTTGGGGCCTGCACAGGAGGCATCCGATCTATGGTTCACTCTCTCTCTCTCTTCCTTCATCTCTCTTTAAAGTCAATACACACACACACACACACACACACACACACGTATATAACAGCCCACACTCAGTGGCTAGTTCTTCTATAACATATGAATGAAGAGAAGTAAGTGCAGACACATTTTTAAGAATTATTATCATAATGATGATGACAGAAATCATAGCATCCTACGGGTTTTGAAGCATTGTGCTAAAATTACACCCGTCCTAACCTGTTTTCTATTTTACTAGAGCTTGATGAAAATAGGGGTTATTTTATCTTCATTTTAGAGAAGAAAAATTTGAGGCCCAGGAGGTGAAATATCTGGCTTTTAGTGCCTCAGCAGAGTTGGAATTTTTAAATTTACTTTTTAAAAAAAACAATTGAAAGCTTTTTGGTAATTAAGTTATATACAAATCAATACATGTTAGTTTATATATTAATTAACACTATAGTGTATTATAAATACATTTATAAATGTATAATATAAATATAAATATAATATTAAATACTAGAGGCCCAGTGCATGAAATTCGTGCATGGGTAGGGCCCCTAGGCCTGGCCAGTGATTGGGGCCGATGGGGGCCTTCTGACTGCCAGCCGGGGCCTTCTTTCCTTGGCTGCTGGCTGCAGGCCAGGGCCTTCCTTTGCTCCATGCCGTCCCCTGGTGGTGAGCACACATCATAGTGAGCAATTGAACTCCCAGTCTCCTGGTTGAAGTCCCAAGGGATCCCTTTGAATATTAGCCTTTTATATATATAGATAATTATTTCGTGGTCTAAATATATTTTGCACCTATATTGTAATATTTAATATTTTGTGCACATATATTACAATGTTTAATATATGTGCACAAATCTTAAGTGTGTGGTTGTATACATTTATATAGGTGTGTTACTGTTTTCATCTGCGTGATCCCCTTCCGGGTCAAGCCATAGGCCATCAGCATCCCATCCACATCAGCCATTTCTTCCTTCTCCCAGCAAGATGACCACTATTATGATTTCACTCACCATACTTTTGCCTGTTTTGAAACTTCAGATAAATCGAGCCATGCAGTTATATACTCTTTCGTGTCTGACTTGTCTACTTGTTCTTCAGTTTTCCTTGATTATATGAAACATCGCCACAGTTGACCCTCTTTCTTTTTTTTTTAATATATTTTTATTGATTTCAGAGAGGAAGGGAGAGGGATAGAAAGATAGGAACATCAATCATGAGAGAGAATCATTGATTGGCTGCCTCTGATTTCACTCACCATACTTTTGCCTGTTTTGAAACTTCAGATAAATCGAGCCATGCAGTTATATACTCTTTCGTGTCTGACTTGTCTACTTGTTCTTCAGTTTTCCTTGATTATATGAAACTTCGCCACAGTTGACCCTCTTTCTTATTGGTATATCTTGGGGTTCTTTCTAGTTTTAGGATTTCAGCTTTTTAGGAATAAAATCTCAAGAATATTCTTGTATATGCATATTGGTGCCCATTTGTAGGCAATTCTCTTGGGTCCCTACCAGGAAGGAATCATACGGTGGGCGCAGAGCTTGGATTTGAACCTTGGTCCTTTATCAAATGAAAATTTTAGGAGGTAACAATCAAACAAAAAGCATTTATTTGGGATCAAAATAATTGTAATTCCGGGAATACAGATTCGGGCAGTAGTCCAAATAGTGTCCCTCCCAGCAGGAGGGACTCATAGATTTTATGGGAAAAGAGGAGGTAAGAAGAGTTAATTGGTGTTAGATGAGGTAGGGATAGATTTGTACTTCAAAGACTGGCTTGAGAATTGAAAGGTTGGGTTTGTAATTCATTGATTGGTTAACGATTTGGCCATCGGCAAAGTCCAATTTCATCAGTCCTTACAGGATATTCTTGTTCTTACTGACTGGGAGTGTTGGTGGTTTGGTCCAGTTAGGAACATAAAGAAAACAAGGAGTGCAGTCACTCTGAAATGGCTCCTCCGGCTCTATTGTTAGGTGGCTCCACTCATGTCACCCCTCACACCTCAGAGCTTGGGACTGTACCACTGCCCTTTCTTGCTGCCTCTAGTTTAGTGATCTCAGGTGATGAAGTTGTTGGTTTCCTGTGGAAGTTCAATGAGCTGGTACTTCCACTTGTAGGAAGATAAAGCTGTGTTTCTTCCTCTAATCTCAGCTATTACCACACTGGTAGAGCACCCTGACACACAATGAGTAGGTTTCCCTCATTAGCCATTCTGCAGTTCTGTGCACACAATGACTGGGTGTCCTACAGTTTAACTCAGATCCTGCAGGTTAGGGGATGAGTCCCACTAGACTTCACCCCTTCTCCTCACCATTTCCCCCTGCCCGTGTGCACTTATTCTCCCCCCCCCCTTTCCCCCTCTCTCTCTCTTTCTCTCTCTCTCTCTCTCTCTCTCTCTTTCTCTCTCGCCCCCCGCCCCCAGATGACAGTTGCATGGTAGGTCTCCAGGTTTACCCAGAACTTCTGTCTAATTTGGCCACAACCCCTTCCTCAGATTCAATCATTTCCTAGAATGGCTCACAGAACTCGGAGAAAAAACTAGATTACTTACTGGCTTATTACAAAGGATATATTAAAGGACATACGTGAACAGCCAGATATGGGGATCGGAGGATGTGGTCTGGGTCTTGAGCACAAGGGCTCCTGTCCCTGTGGAGCTTGGGGGGCTTTCTGATTCACCAACCGGACAACGCTCTCTGCACCTGGCTTTTCATTGAGGCTTCCTTTTTCAAAAGCCACCTCATTACCATCACCTGAGGGGTGGGGGAAAGGGGCATGCTATCGGCAATGAAAGACACTCCTTTGCTTTTAGGAGTTGAGTGTCAGGAACTGGGACAGTGATAAATGCATGTCTTATTCCAGGTCACAGTATCACAAGATGTTTCTCAGCCACTTGTGTGTGACCCACAGATACAGGTGCCAGACCATTGCACTGCCCATCATTTTTAGTTTGTTTTCAGCCCCGTGCCTTTTTGTAAAATAGATGAAGGACAGATGTCATTATTGCTTATTTACAAGTCTGCGAAGAAGCTTCAGTTAGAATAATGTCAGAGTCCACAAGATTGGGATTGAGGGGAGCCATGTTGGACCTGTCTGACACTTTTCCTGTTTTGGCTTTATTTTATTTAATATTACGCCTTGGCACTAAAGCAGCGGTTCTCAACCTGTGGGTCTCGACCCTTTCATAGGGGTCGCCTAAGACCATCGGAAAACACATATATAATTACATATTGTTTTTGTGATTAATCACTATGCTTTCATTATGTTCAATTTGTAACAATGAAAATACATCCTGCATATCAGATATTTACATTACGATTCATAACAGTAGCAGAATTACAGTTATGAATTAGCAACGAAAATAATGTTATGATTGGGGGTAACCACAACATGAACTGTATTAAAGGGTCGCAGCATTAGGAAGGTTGAGAACCACTGCACTAAAGGGTGAGTGATCCAAATTCAGAAACCAGATACCTGTTTCTAAGAAGTTCCATAGTTGGGGGAATTGACATCTTTCACAGGCTTCCTTCATGCCTAATTGGTCGTGTGGCCTTGAGAAAGCCACTTTCTCCTGCCTTAATTTGTTCAATTTAAAGGGGGTGGATGTATGTGGGGGGTGCATTAAGGGTTCTTAACCGTTTGGGAGTTTTTCAATCCCTTTGGTGATTGGAAGGATGACTCTCTCCTTTGAAAATCAAGCAGATTTGTGTCAAATTTTATATGGTTGTTCGTGCACATTTGCTCAGAGTTCCTTGATTATGAAGGTGTTTCCATTTTTAATATTAGATAAAAGTTCATCTCTCTGCATTTTGGAGGAGATAGCTTTTACTGCATCAGGTTTATTGTCTGGATGCCAGTATATACATATACTGTCATAGCAAAAAAAAACCTCTGCGGTCACCCTGTAACAAAAGTGAGCTGGATGCATGGTTGATCACAAGTTAAGTCATGTCTTTGTGGACAAGTCCCTAATAGTATCTCCTCGCCTGGGGCAGCCTGGTCCCCTGAGGGTGGAGAAGCCTCCTGGGCTCCTGGTGAGGGAACAGGGTGTGACTTGGTGGAGAGGAGAGGCAAACACTGGTTGTGTGGGAGGCCAGGCAGTGTAATAATGGTGAAGAGAGCAGGTTCCGGAGGGAGACAGGGAGACCAGATTGGAGCCTCAGATCTGCATGGGCCGGTTAACCTCTCTGTGCCACAGTTTATCCTTCTGCAAAAAGAGTGTAGCCCCCGAACCCCCCATTGAGGATTGGTGGGGCTTTGCATGAGTCAGTGCAGGCTTACTCAGCGTTGGCACTGTTGACTCTGGACCAGATAGATCATTGTTTGGGAGGACCGTCTTGTGCATTAGCAGCATCCTTGGCCTCTACCCCTCAGATTCCTACAGTTTTACCAGCCAAAATGTCTCTAGGGGTTGCCAAATGTCCCATGGAGGAGGCCAAGCTCCCCTCTTCCCCCAGGGGTCTTGCATGAAATTCAGTTTTATAAATGCTATGGAAAAGCTCTCGGTGACTGCTGTTGCTTTGAAGAAAAACTCCTGTGAATAAGCCATAATTCTCCACCCGATGCCCTTAAGATAGAAACAAAAAGAAAAAGCTAACCAAGCCTAGGGAACAAAAGTCTGTTTGTTCCCTGCTTGCTGAATTATTGATGCAGCTCTTTGAGATGAACTGCGTTCATTCAGGTAGGATCAGCACCCACCTGCTTCGTGAGGAACTGCCTTTGGCCCCTGGGAAGTGATGGTTTCTGCTCCCTGACCATTTGCAGCCCAGCCTCCTGGCACCCTGCAAACAGGCTATTTGTGGTCCTTGATCAGAGCAGACCTGTTAAGTCATGATAAAGCCAGGCATCCCTGCCAAGAGCAATAGCCTGCTGGGCGTGTGGGGCCAGGTGCCAGGCAGTGGTGAGCTTGGCTGATGGTGATAAAAGCTATGCAGGGAGGGTTTGGGGTGACTGAGACACCAGTCCCTAATATTATCTCCTCACCTGTCAATGACCACACACCTCAGAGGTCAACTATGAAGAAGCTGTGTTTGGGGCACCTGAGGCTTAGAGTTGAGTTGGTGAAGATGCCTGTGATGGGCATGAAGAGCAGGTGGAACTCACGCTGCTGAAACAGCACTTGGAAACTGGGGAGTGAAATAGCAGTGACTGACAGGTTTTGGGTGTTAGGGGAAGGAGTTGGAGGTTGGAAGAAAGGGTAAATAGAGTCTTTTTTAAAAGATATATTTTTATTGATTTCAGAGAGGAAGGGAGAGAGATAGAAACATCAATGATGAGAGAGAATCATTGATTGGCTGCCTTCTGCACGCCCCCTGCTGGGGATTGAGCCCGAAACCCAGGCATGTGCCCTTGACCGGAATCGCACCCTAGACCCTTCTGCCTGATGGCCAACGCTCTATCCACTGAGCCAACCAGCTAGGGCGATACTTTTTTAAAAAAAATATGTTTTTATTGATTTCAGAGAAAGGAAGGGAGAGGGATAGAGAGATAAAAACATCAATGATGAGAATCATCGATCAGCTGCCTCCTGTATTCCCCCTACTGGGGATTGAGCCCGCAAGCTGGGCATGTGGCCTGAGCAGGAAATGAACTGTGACCTCCTGGTTCATGGGTCAGCGCTCAACCACTGAGCCACAACAGCCAGGTGGTTAGATAGATTCTGATTATTCTCCATTTATTTGTTCAAGGATGGATGTCATTTGCTTTCCGGCTTTGGATTTTTTAGGCTAGTTTAAAATAAGACGGAGGGTTGATAAAAAGTCATTCCCTATAAAGTTGTCCAATAGGATGCTTAAAGAAAATAAAAAGATATTTGCTGACATTTTCATTGCATAAAATAAAAGGTGTTTTGTCATCAAAGAAGTAGGAGGAACCCAAGCAGAGACCAAAGAGGAGTGGCCGGTGGGGAATACATTTGGGGTAATGGAAGGGTGCCCTGGTACTTATTTCCTCTTCTTTCTCCAGGGCCAGGAGCAGATGTTATCTTAGGCCACCACATTTGTTTTACTGCACATAGAAGGGTTTGATGTACATTGTTGAGTGACAACCGAAGTCACGAACGGTGGCATCTCACATTTGCCATTCCTGGTGAGGATGGTGGTGGAGCCCGAGGCCTTGTGGTGCCTTACGTTTGAGGTCAGGGGATTCATCTCTCATTTTCCCTACTCTTCCCTTCCCACCCTCTGCTCCTGAACTTTCCCTAAGTGGCTGGCAAGACTGTAGGAACACACAGTGCATTCCCACTTGCCAAGATGTTGCGTCTCTCTCTGCTTTTTGGTTCATCTTGTTTGTTTGCCTCCTAAGGGACAGTTCTGTTGTGGAAGAGCGAGTCCCCCGATGGCCTCCTCACCCCAGGCCTGAAGTGGGCTGGCTGATTGAAGGAGGGGGATGTGATCCCTGCTCATGCCGACAAGATTAAGTGCTTGCAGTCCATGGACATCCTGAAATTCTTTGGACACTAAGGTTTAAAGAGAGCTTTTAGAATTGGGGACGGCCTTTCACTAACACACACACAAACCCACACATATACGGTTCTTAAAATATAAAACATGGGAGAATACATAGGATGCAGCTGGGAGCTGTGAATATAAAACCTGGGAGAATACATAGGATGCAGCTGGGAGCTGTGTCATTGAATAAGTATTCAATATGAGCTCTGTCTTCAATCTTTCTTTGACTGATAATTGGACAGTATATAGTCATATAATAGTATCTGTAAAGCTAGCAGCGAACGGAGACCTTAATTTCTTGCTTTGGAGAATGAGTGTAAAAACGACATTAACTCAATTTCTTTCTTCATTTTTTATCTTACTCTGCCATTGTATTGATGTTTTTGATTTTTGTTGTTGTTAAAAAGAATGAATTCCAGACCCCTCTGAAAGATAAATGTTGTGAATTTTGTGCATTTGCTGCACTTTTACATACAGAAAAATAACTAATTTTCATATTACATAAAAGATATGTGTACTGTTAGATAACCTATTTTTTCTCTATTAATATATCTTGGAGATCTGTACAGATCATTCCAGAAATAATGTCCTCATCCTTCTTAACTGCTATATAGTATTCCATAGTAGAGCTCTTCCCTAGTTTATAGAGGACACAGCTATTCATAGTTGTATGCTATTGCCAAGAAATGCTACAGTAAAGAAATAAAACAGTACATACATCATCACGCACATGGGTAAGCATGCTGGTAGTATTTATATGTAGCAAAACTACAAACACATGCCTGGGAAATTATATAGCAACTTCAGGAATTATAATCAATTGTGTATTGACAGATTATTGACTAAATTGCTCCATGGAAAATAAGTTTAGAGAATTATGTTCCTTGATATTTCTGGGGTGTTCGTATGCTGGTAATAATAACGTTTTATCAACCTGAGGAATTCCCACCTAGTACCCCAAATCGTACTTTCATCCTCCAGGCATTTTGTTTTGATTTTCCATTTTCTTGCAAATTTTTTGAATGCTTGTCCTCTGATCTTTAAGTTCCTATCAGAATTTTGGCAGATTCTTTGAAGCAACAACTACATTTTAAGTCCCTGTAGGTACCCCACAAATGCTTGGTGGGCCAGAGGGGTGGGTACAACAGAGAATGAGATACATAAATAACCTTCCCCATCGAGCTTATATTCATAACCTATTTCTCATCCCCCACTCCCATTTAGTGTACTACGACTTTGAAAAAGTAATATTTGTAGTTATATGGAGTCAGATTTTACATGCTGGCCTCAGTGTTCAGCTGTGGTTACCGTCCACCCTGTGTGTGGCAGGCAGTGTGCCCCAGTTTTTGGTTTGTAGAAGGTGGTCACCTTATCTATTATGTGGCAATGAGGCATCTCCACACTTTTTAAATGGCCTGCCAAAGTTATGTGCCTCCTTTCACTTGTTATTAGACATTGTGCTAATTGCATGGGTGATTTAAATGTTAAAAAGGCATTAAAGCGTTTGTTGTAATAATTAACAAAGGACTGGCAGGTTACAGATGAATGCATAATGCCATATTTTTAAAATACAGCATTAGATGTCTGTGCAAAGTGGTATATGTTATGAAACATTAATATTCAAATGAGAGATTTGAACGGAATGATCTCTCATATCCTTTCTAGTCAGTTCTTTCTGGCTTTTCCAAAGAATCTAGCTCTACACCTGCTAATATATTTTGTGAGGCTCCAACTGTGTCTCACTTCTGGGAACCTCAAGGAGAGGCCATGGCCTACCTTTTGTTGTATAGCAGTGTGTTAATGGAGCCTTGGATCATGGACCAGAAATTTCTGATTTTCTTCTTTTCTCAATAATAGAATAATAATAGGTGGATGCAAAGCGGCATGGAATAAAGACCAGCTTTCTGCCTCTGGGTGAGGTGTGATTTAAATTTAGGCTGATGGGATATAAGTGGAAATGACATGCGATTTCTAGGAAGTTTCCTTAAAGGGAAAGCGTCTGTTCTTCCTCGCTTGGGCTGGCAGGTGGACCCAGTGGCCGAGTTTGAGCAGTTGGTATTACGTGTGGAAGAGGGCAGAGCCACACGATGGAGGCAGCCTGGGCCGCACTATGGACAGAGTTGTGCTGATTGTTTCTTAGAGAAGGGCCTCTGCCTGAGAGGTTAAGGGCCTGGAATTGAATCCAGGCTCTGCTTCCCAAGTTATGTACCTGGAGAAAGGTTGGACCTTTTACTTTGCATAAAAGGGTTATGTGTGTACTAAGCCAGGTACCTACAAGGCTGCTTTCACCTGGAGCGGGGTACCTTTCCTAATTTATTCAAAGGTACCACATGGGCACTGTTACTATGGAGGACTTCCCCATCCCCAGACCTCCCTACTGCTGAACTTCATCAATTCTTCATCCAAGGATATGTTTATTATTTATTTATTTATTTATTTTGAGAGAGAGAGAGAGAGAGAGAGAGAGAGAGAGAGAGAGATCAATTCGTTGCCTCTTATATATGCCCCAACTACCTGTCTGGGCAGTAACCCTCAATCTTTCAATCTT